ATTTTTATCCTTACGATGATATGAATTTAAATTTCAAACTCAATAAATACGCTATACTTTACGATATGTATATAAAATTTCAAAAGACATACTACGGTTATAATAATTATGATGCTTTGTTATCTGTGGCGGAATTTATTTTAAACGGTCCATTCGTAGTGATCGATTGTTCTCGTCAAAACGAATTAATAAAAAGCGCTACCGTGGATATTCGTATAGAATTTGAATGTATAGACAATATTCCTACGAACACCACAGCTTATTGTCTTATTATTCATGACAGAGTGATAGAATATAATCCGTTGATTAATGTTATTCGTAAAATTATATAATGATATACATATATTCAAAACTTACTATTTAGAAAACTTTATCACAGTTAGATAAACCGTGATATGTAGTTTTATGCTTTAAACCGGAAGAAGAAACGTAGTATCACAAATTGTTTCGTAATTTGACACATGTAACCTTACTAATCGGAAACTTTTAAAATTCTGATTTTTATCGTTACGACGATATGAATTTAAATTTCGAATTCAATAAATACGTTATACTTTACTTATGATATGTATATAAAATTTCAAAAGGCATACTACGGTTACAGTAATTATGATACTCTGTTATCTATCACAGAATTTATTTTAAACGATCCATTCGTCATGATTGATTGTTCTCTTCAAAACGAATTGATAAAAAGCGCTATCATTCGTATAGAATTGGAATGTATGGAAAATATTCCTGAGAATTTCACAGCTTATTGTCTTATTGTTCATGATAGAGTGATAGAATATAATACATTGCCTAATGTTATTTTTGAAATTATATGACGATATGAATTCGAAACTTGCTATTTTTAACTAAAAAAATTTATTATATAAATAAATCAATAAATATTATACGCTACTGTAATGTTACGCTACTGTGTTATTGCAACACATTCTAATTATATGTATGACTCATACTATCAAATATATAACATACACTTTATTTATATCTCATGATTTCATCTTCCCTTTCTTTTTTAAATAGATACTCGTACAATAGTATCGTTTGAGAATACATATGTAAGATCGCAGAAGTAATTCATTCGTCTTGCAGTGTACATCATTTTATACCATAATGTCTATTGTGTTTATCATCATTTTTGTTACCATTATTAAAACTATAATGGCAACGACAACAACGAATTCTCCTTCTTCTCCTCAAGATATAAATACGGAAATAATTCTATATCTGCAAAAATATGGTTATTTAAATAACATTGGGAACAATACGCAATTATCGATCGGGAGTGAAAAACTTAAACAGGCTATTGCATTATTTCAAGAATATTATCAAATACAAGGTGATGGTTCATTGAACGATCGTACGTTACATCAAATGCGTAAACCACGATGTGGTCTCTCAGATATTCCACATCATGAGCACGATACAGGTATACATAAATGGACGAAAATAAATCTTACGTGGAACTTTCATTTGGCAAATGCAAATATCTTAAAAACTACAGAATTTGCATTCTCGTTATGGGCAGCTAATTCATCCTTAACATTCGAGCGAGAAATATTAAACCCTGACATTTTAATATCTTACCGTAGTGGTACTCACACATATCTTGATCACAAACGTAACGCAGAAATTTGCCCCTCTTCATTCGACGGTCGTGGTGGAGTACTCGCTCACGCGTTTTATCCTTCACGCAATCCTAATTACATCACCGAAATACATATTGACAATGCAGAAGCCTGGCACATATACCTACACGATAAAATACCTTTCAACTCGGAACGTCTACTTCATACGTTAACACATGAAATCGGACATTAGTCACAGTTCGCGCGAAGATTCCGTAATGTTTGCGTTTGCTAAAAATACTAATACAACTGTTAAACTCAACTTAGAAGATATTTTAACGATTCAGTATCTATATGAAAGGAACAAACCAGGAATAACAACAATAACAACTACTACTACTATAAAACCACCAAAAACGACTACTGAAATTCCGACAAATAAGCCTGGTAAAATAGATCTCTGTGAATTACAATATGTGGATACTATATTAATATTAAATTATCGAATATTCGTCACATATCAAAGCTATGTATGGTCGATAAATATAAATGATAACAAATATGACGGACCATTTGAGCTAAATACTTACATGAATTTCCTCCCAAAAAATTTCTCTTTGTCAGCCGCGTACCAAAGACCCTCGGGTGAAATAGTACTATTTATAAATAATATGGTTTATATGGTTAATTATCCCAGTTTCAAATTAAAAGAAGGCTGGCCGAAACATCTAAAAAATTTGGGATTTCCCCCAAATGTTGTAATTAATACCGCGATAAATACTCACAAAGGACAAACCTACGTAATCTTCGATGATAACGATGTGGCGCAAATAGACGAATGTACTCTGACTGTTAGTGCATATCAAACGTTACAATCAATATTTCCCGGAATACCGCCATCTCCAACCATGGCTTTCCGACATATGGATGATAATATTTATTTTGCTAAGAAACAACAATTTTACCAATATAACGAATTCAAGAGAATCGTGACAAAAGCGGATTAATTTA